TTCCCTCACCTAAGAAGAAGAAGAGGAGGTCGCAGGTTCTGGAGGAATGCCCTCTACCTGTCAACATTGACACATCTCAGAGAACAGAGGAACAGGAGAAAAAGAAGAGAAGGGTGAGCCAGGAGGAGGTCAGCCTTCCTCCTACTCCTACCAAGAAGAAGAAAAGGGAGACGGAGGAGGAGGTGGAAGACGTTGTCACAGAAACTAATATGACAGAATATAAAAAGAGGAGGAACCAGGAGGGCGGCCTTCCACCTGCTTCTACTGAGAAAAAAAAGAAAAAGAGAAAGGAGCGACAGGAGGATGAAGCGGAGGATAGCGTTGTAGATACCAGTGTGACAGAAAAGAAGAAGAAGAAGAAGAGAAAGGAGCTACAGGAGGATGAAGCGGAGGATAGCGTTGTAGATACCAGTGTGACAGAAAAGAAGAAGAAGAGAAAGGAGCTACAGGAGGATGAAGCGGAGGATAGCGTTGTAGATACCAGTGTGACAGAAAAGAAGAAGAAGAAGAAGAAGAAGAAAAAGTATTCATAGATAAATGAGACATCATTTTACACTCAGAACTGTAAATATGTTTCATCTGCCCTCATACAAGCTCTCTCTCTCTGGCGATGAGATAAGTCTGAGTGAGCAGGAAGTTGTCAGTATATCAACACGGCACTGCATGATACAAACAGACTCCAGCACCAAGATAGAGGAAGAAGAGAAAGATGTAGGTGTGGTGGTGGGGATGTCACTGGAAGGAGAGACTGTGGAAAAGAAGAGGAAGACAGAAAGAAAAAGAGAGAAGAGACGGAAAGGAGGAGCAGAGGGGGATGAGTGAGTTCTTCTGATTCTTATTTTTCTTGATCTCCAGAGTAACGTCTGATAAATGAAGATGAAACTTTGTTACAATAAACCTTTTTCAAGTGCTTCAGCTTTGAAATGATCGAGACATGAGTCACTACAGGGTTTATTCTGCTTTCTCATTCAGCCAGTATCAGTCCAGTGAGTATCTGCTGCACGATGCACTGAGCATCGGGTACAGGTGAGCCGGTTGTTGCACTGCTGCTCACAGAACACGGTGTAACAGCAGCTGCAGGCTGTGGCCGGGCACTCGTCCTCCTCGGGTTATCAGCAGTAACACGAGACTGATGAAACAGTTCAACACAGGACTGTTGTTCCCCGCAGGTCAAATGTATTATGATTAAAGTCATAATGTTTTCAGATTGTAATGTTATCGTGTGTCGTGTTGTCAGGTCAAACCGGCTGTTGGTGGAAGAGCTGGAGGAGTTTGTCCCAGATGTCAAAAAGAAATCACTTGATCAGATCAGGAAACTGCTGAAATACGATCTAGAGCGCTTCAGACACTTCAAACAACAAGGTACTGCAAACATTACAGACAGCACTTTGAACAGGGCACCAGTAATGACACTCAAAGTAAATGGGTTCCAAAACCCAGTAAAAAGTAAGTAAAGTTCTAGCTAAGATGAAACAAGAAGACATCAGAACCAGCTCTACTGGCCAGGTGTGCTGGACACACGAGGAGTTTGACTCTGGTATAGTGGCTCAGTGAGTCTGTACAGTGTTCTTCCATAAGGCAACAAGAAGATGGAGAGAACAAGAAAAGAAGCTGTTCATTAGGAAAATAAAGTATTTATAAATATGGAAATATATACACACAGTGTAGATGCAGTTTTCCAGATAAATATATACAAAAGTATATTTACAAGGTTTTGCACTGAGGGTTGCCATTTTGTTATACAGTCATAGTTAAGTGTTCATCAGGGTGACAGCTTGGGGGAAGAAACTGTCTCTGTGCCTGGTTTTCTTGGTGCACAGTGACCTGTAACGCCATCCAGGGGGGAGGAGTTTAAACAGATTGTGTCCAGGGTGTGAGGGGTCAGTAGTGATCCTCTCTGCCCTCCTTTTGACCTGTGCGGTGTACAGGTCCTCCATAGAGGGCAGGCTCACATCAGTGACTTTTTCTGCAGTCCTGACTTCCAGTTGAAGTCTGTACTTGTTTTGTTTCTGAGAGAACCAGACTGATGGAGTTGCAGAGAACAGACTTGATGATTCCTCAGTAGAACTGTATCAGCAGCTCCTGGGGCAGGTCAAACTTCCTGAGCTGATGCAGGAAGTACATCCTCTGCTGTGCCTTCTTGGTGATGGTCTTGATGTTGAACGTCCACTTCAGGTCCTGGGAGATAGTGGAGCCCAGGAACTTGAAGGACTTTACTGCTGATACAGTGCTGCTGAGTATTATTTCAACAGCTGGGTACTGACACTTAAACACCTGTTCCTCTAGGTGTGACTCTGCGTCACGGGCGGTGCACTCAGGAGGAGAATCAACAAATCAGAGAGAACATTGCAAACTTCCTGGCTCTGACAGGCATCACCTCGGCCGATCAACTTATGTTTCCTCAGAGGTACAAAGAGCATGAGGTGCAGATCAGGAGCCTGAAAGCAAAACATCGCTTCCTGGAGAAGATTGGTACGTAAACACACATCATCATCATCAGCGGTCCATCAGAATCAGGTGTGATGCTCCAGCTGGAGGCGGACTGGATTGTTTTCTGATCTAAAGTCGTAAAATTAAAATAAAGTTGGGTCAAATTAAAAGTCACTGTCAGTGAGTAGTCAACAGTGTTACAAGAAACAGCATCTCCACCTGTCTCTCTCCTCACCTGTCTGTCTCTCAGCTGAGGGGATCCCTCGGACGTGTGAACAGGTTTACACCAGAGCCAAGAGGCTTTTTGACAGCAGGAACCACTTGGGAAGGTCAGAGATCAAGTCATCAGATTTTCAGAGGCGAATCCTCTGCGTCTCTGCCCGTTGAACCGTCTGTGATGTGTCTTCTTTCAGGTTCTCACCAGAGGAGGTCGATGCTCTGATGAAGTTTCACAACCTCCATGGTAATGACTGGAAAACAATCGCTGAAAAAATGGATCGCAGCATCTACGCCTTACAGAAACGCTTTGCCCACATCGGTAAACACGCTGAAATCTGAACTGTGGACCCAAAACCCTGACCTTTGACCTTGGACACTGGAGTTCACTGACGGTCTGTGAAACAGACCTGTAGAGAGCAACAATAGGGGAGAGGAGGGAGGAGAGGAGAGGAGGGGAGGAGAAAGAAACTCAGAGCATCATGGGGCCCCCCAGCAGCCTAGGCCTATAGCAGCATAACTAAGGGAAGGCTCAGGGTCACCTGACCCAACCCTAACTATAAGCTTTATCAAAAAGGAAAGTCTTAAGTCTAATCTTAAAGGTAGAGAGGGTGTCCGCCTCCCGAACTGAGACTGGGAGTTGGTTCCATAGGAGAGGAGCTTGATAGCTAAAGGCTCTGCCTCCCATTCTACTTCTGTGGACTCTAGGAACCACAAGTAAACCTGCACTCTGAGAGCGAAGTGCTCTGTTAGGATGATAAGGCTCTACGAGGTCTTTAAGATACGATGGAGCCTTGTCATTAAGGGCTTTGTATGTTAGGAGAAGGATTTTAAACTCTGTTTCTTTTTGTGACTTTACTAAGAACTGGCAGTTTCTAAACTACAGCACACCACCACAGTGTTAAAACAGTCGCACATGTACAGTATCTCCTCTGCACATTTGCTCCAACCTTTCAATGACAAAGATGAGAAATTGCTGCAAAGCAGATGTAGCTATGTTTCAATTTTTTCACTGTTACGGTCTCAGGAAATCTCCTCAACATAGATTTCATCACACTGTCTCCTACTAACCCATTTAAGCTAGAGAGTGGACCTCCACCAGTCCCCATAATGCCATAAAAGTGACATTTCCATGATAGTGTGACCCTCATAATACGACTGCTTGACCATGAAAACCTACTGCTGGCATTTGGAATGGCACTGATGTCACTGAACAATGACAGATTTGACAGACGTCCATTGGTTTAGGGGTAAAACAGTTGAACCTATGTTGATGTTTGTGTATGGCTGTCCAGCTAAACGTCATGGGCTGTGGAGCACAGATGAAGAGTCCAGGTTGAAGCAAGCTCTGAAGGCTCACCTGGAGGTCCTGGTCCAGCAGAATCCTTCAGAGAGTCTCAGCAGAGAGCAGCTGTACCTCAACCTCCCGTGGAAGGAGATCAGCCATCAGGTCGGGACCAGATCCTGGAGCCAGTG